GCAGGGGCCGCGCCGCCCGGTTCCTACGACTACTGCCCCAGATAATACGGGCGTCCGCCGGCGCGCTCCGCCCCGGCCCCCGCAGGCGCCCCGCACAGCCCGAGGACCGGCGGGGCCCAGGCCACCCAGCCCCAAGGGCCATCAAAGAACACTTTCCTCCAGCCCCGGGGGCCACCGCGGGCCTCCCCTTCCCCAGCCGCGAAGCCATGGGGACCTCCACCCTGCAGCCCCGAGGGCTACCGCAGTGTCTGGTCTCCCAGTCCCCGGAGCCACCGCGGGTTTTCCCCCAGCCCCAAGGGCCATGGGGTCCCCGCCCGCCAGTGCCAAAGCGCCCGGTCAGAGGCGGAAGGAAGTGGTATTTATTGTTCTCCCCGAGACCGCGTCGCCCCCGGTCCGGCCGGCAGTTGCAGTGTAGACGACCGGAGAGCCCCGCCTGCAGGCTGTGTAGATACGTATATACGTGTAGATATGTGTAGATACTGTAGATACCGCGCCGGCGCCGACTTGATAAACGGTTTTGCGTCTTTTGGAAGCTGCTCGCGTTGTCCTTTTTTTTTTTGTGCCCAATGAGATCGCGCGGGGGATCTCGGGGAGTGCCAATCGGGGACGACTCGGGAACTTCAGTTTCCCCAGACCCAGTCCCCGCCGGCTGCAGATCTAGTCCCTGCTGTACCTGCCCCTCCCCCTCCGCGTGCCTTTCCCGGCCCCCTCCAGCGCTTCTCCCAGCCCCCTCTCCCGCCCGTTCCCGCTCCCGGCTCCCCGGCCTGCGCACGTCCCCCCACTCTAACCCCGCCCCGCTTCATCCAGCCTCCCCAGCGCTGGCGGCACCAGCCCCAGGTGTGCGTCCTATCTTTTATTTCAATTCCTCATGTCCGCAGTTGTCCCTATTCTACAACTCGGGCCCACGCCCTGACCTGTTTCCAGGACCGATGCTTGTCCGGTGTCCATTCCTATGGTAACTGGAAATAATGGTAAAGACAGGACAGTCTGTTGGGGGCTGGGAGGGGTAGAAGTCCTTGACCTGGATGGGATCATGGAAAGACAAAAACAGGCAGCTCGGGGCTTCTAGCATTTCCCCTGGCCTGGCCCTAGCCCAGGACTGCATTTTCCCCTGTTTATTGACTTTATTCCCTGTAAGTGTCCCTATGGAGTGACCTGGACAGGGAGCACAATGACAGTGGTCATGAGTCATCTTGAAACCTGTCTGTGAAGCACTTTTCCCAGGCCAGGTGGTTGAGGGACCTCTCCCCATTAACTCAGCACCAGGGATGGGGCCAGAGGAACCCTTTGATCCCTCCCTTCCTGAGTTCAAGCAGGAAAAGCTGACAGCCGGTCAACGTCAAGGCTGCTAACTTGGACACAAAATGAACGGGAAATGCGCATAGCCGAGGTTCTATCCCCCACCCACCTTCTGTGCCTGTCCCAGTGTGTTTGTGGCAATCACTGCCTTCTATGCTGCCTGGCTCATCAATCCTATGTGGCAGTGGCAGCCTGGGTGCCACCTCTCCGAGGTCACGCACGTGCATTTCCAGGTGTTGGCCCTAGACTGGACCTGTTCTTCCTGGACATGATTGTCCTGCTGGTGTGAAGTGACTGGGGGCTCAGTAATTGGACTGCAGGAACCCATTCCCATGAGGCTGGTTGGAGAAGGGAGGGAGTGGCCAGGGCCATCCCAAGCCTCAAAGGGCATCTAGTACCAGCATGTGAAGACTTCAGCAGCGTCTTCCCAAGTGGTCAGCAGGCTCCATATACATGGCTTCAAGGACACACTCCTAGGGACAGCTGTGAGCTGCCCATTCTTGAGTCCTGCTCCCCAGCCCACTCCCAACTGCAAGTCTCCCTCTGGGTCAGTCAAACGTAACAAGGGGCTCCCCACTTGGGGCAGCCTTTACCCATCTGCACCCACACGTGCCTGCGGGAGTGGGAGTGGGAGGCAGGAGTTTGCCATGCAGAGGGCGCTGGGCACGTCTCAGGCCACACTGTCTCCCCACTGGGTGACGGCCACTTGCACTCCTTCATCAGCCAGGGTGTCCTGAGGAGGCATTTCCATTGGAAAGACCTCTGCTTTGGTTTTGTTCAAAACTAAAGCGAGGAGAAGCTCTCCTCTGAACAAATAACGGTACCCAGTGTTTGCAAGTAGGGGTGGAACACCCAGCAATGTGCAGGGACCCTGGGTGTGCAGCTCGCTGGCCTTGTACAGGTGTCCCTCCTCCCCTCATGATGGCCAGTCAAGATGGACAAGCTCTCTGCTGTCGAACACAGTCGCCACTAGCCATACATGGCCTTTTGAATGTTAACAAATTAGGATAAAAATTCAAGTTCAGGTCCTTACTGGCCCTATTCCAAGTGCTCAATGGCTTGTGTGCTGAACGTCACCACGCTGGCTGCTGCAGATGATGGCACTGGTTAATGTCCCCAAGGGCACAGTTTTTCTCCCCTCTATCCCCATAGATGAGTTTGTCCATCTGAGAATTTCTTGTAAATGGGAGCACGCGGGGGGCGGCCAGCAGCTCCTCCCTGGTGTGCTTGTGAGGCTCAGCGGCGCTGCCACTCACCCTCTCGCCTTCATTCATTCGTTAAATGAGGGCTTGATGAGCTCCCACCAGCTGCAGGCGCTGTCATTCCCATGGGCAGCTGCCTCTGGACGGTCCTGGACTCCCCTGTGATGTGGCTTTCCAGCAGCTTCCTTTCTGTGACTGCTGTGGTCTGAATGGGCCACCCCCAAATTCACTTGTTGAAATCCTCGCCCCCAAGGTGATGGTGTTAGGAGATGGTGCCTTTGGGAGGTGACTAGGTCATGAGGGTGGAGCCCTCATGAGTGGGATTAGTGCCAAGAGAGACCCCTCGCCCCTTCTGCCCTGTGAGGACACAGTGGGAAAGTGGCCACCTACAACCCAGAAACACCCTCAGCAGAACGCGACCATGCTGCCACCCTCATCTGTGACTTCAGCCCCTCCAGACTGTGAGAAATAAATTTCCATTGTTTATTAGCCACCCTATTTATGGCTTCTTGTGATAGCTGCCCGAACAGACTAAGAGAGTGACCGTCCTCCTTTCGCCGCCGCCTCTCACTTTCGGTTCCTCTGCAAATACGCCTGCCCTGCCCTTCTGCAAGTTGCTGTGCTGTGTACTTTGGAGGTGGGGGTCTCATCCCACCTCTTGTCTTCTCATGGGCTGGCCCCCAGCTGTTGGACTTCCCCCCTAGCATCTTTTTCTGGGTCCCCCAGTTGGTCCAGAGGCCCCGTTCCCCCTACCTCTAGCCTGTCTCCAGATGTCCAGCTGCCAGGACTTGGAGGACAAGAGCTCGGTCTAGAGGTTCCTCAGAGATCTCCTAGTCCTGGGACCTCAGGCTCTTCTTCACTTGTCCTCAAAACCCTTCAGAAAACAGTAGACATCCAACACAGGAAACAGATGAGCTCTTGACTAAGTGGGGGTGGGGAACCTCTCTATGCCCCTTCACCCCTTTGGATCCCATGTAATGGGCCTCAGGGACCCCAGGATCCTGGGGTACTATGGGCAACCCTATGGTTGCCCAGCTCCCTGTTTTCAGAGGATGGGATCAGGCCCAGAGCCATACACAGCCTGCCCTCCTCAGCTCTATGCCTTTGTCTGAGGGAGGCCTGGGAATTCTGCACTGTCTGGAGGAACTGGTTAAACGCCTGTCCCCAAGCATT